GATTAGCTTTTTTCACTCCACATAATCATTTCGAGATTCATCCATGTTTTTGAATGTATCATTAGTTTGCTATTTTTTATTGCTGAGTAGTATTCCATTCCAGGAGGAAAGACCTAGCCACTCACTTCCAAAAAACTGGCCACGAAAACCCTATGAATAGCAGCAGAGCATGGCCTGATATGGCACTGGAAGACAAGATGATGGTGCAAAACAGACCAGGCAGGGTTCTGCTCTGTTACACGTAGGGTCGCTAGGAGTCGGAATCAACTTAGCGACACTACAAGACAAGTATTCCGTTATGAGGGCTTGCCACAATTTGTTCATCCACTCTCCTATTGATAGACACTAGGTTGTTTTCAGTTTTTGACTACAGCAAATGAAACTGATACACACAATCATATAAACTTTTCATGAAGACATATGCTTCAATTTCTCTTAGGTAAATACACAGGGTTGAGTCATGTAGTAGGTATATGCTTAATCTTATAAGAAAGTGTTAAACTGGGGCTGGCCCAGAGGTGTAGTGGGTAAGTTCGCGTCCTCCAGTTCAGCAGCCCGTGGTTCACCAGTTCAGATCCTGGGCACAGACCTACACATGGCTTATCAAGCCATGCTGTGGCAGGTGTTCCACATATAAAATAGAGGAAGATGGATACAGATGTTAGCTCAGGGCCAATCTTCCTCAGCAAAAAGAGGAGGATTGGTGGCAGACGTTAACTCAGGGCTAATCTTCCTTGGGGGAAAAAAAAGTGTTAAACTCTCTTTCAGTAGTGGGTTTGGAATAATATCTTATTATAGTGTTAATCTGCATTATCTTAATTAATGATGTTGAGTGTCTTTTCACATATTTGTCACCCATATATTTTCTTTGTTGAAGTGGCTCATCAAATCTTTTGTTCAATTATTGTTGGGTTATTTGTCCTTTCATCAAATTATAGGAATTCTTTATATATTCTAAATACAAGTCCTTTGTCAGGTAAAGGTTTTGAATGTATTTTTCTCCCATTTTGTTGCTTACCTTTTCATTTTCATAAGCGTGCTTTGAAGAGCAATGTATTTTTTAATTTGATGAAGGCCAATTTGTTTTTTCTTTCATAGTTTGGGATTTTGTATCCTATTAAGAAAAACTTTGCCAAACCCAAAGAGACTAAAATTTTCTCCTAAGCTTTAACTCTCATATTTAGGCCTCTATTTTGAGTTAATTTTTGTATATGGTGTGAGGTAAGGGTCACATCTCCTCTTTTGGTATATAATTCATTTTTTGGTATATGAATATGCAATTGTCCATAACCACTTTTGAAAGATTATCCTTTCCTTATTGACTTGCATCCTTGAAGTCAGATATTACCACCTGCTCTACCCTCCTTACATGACCATAGAGAGCACTCAATGAGTTATGTGTAAACATGCTCTGAAAAGTGGAAAACTAATAGAAATCTCAGTCACCATCATTATTAGTTAGTTCTGAGTGTATCTTGATTCAGGGAGCTTATTCTCTCATCTGTGAAATAGGAATAACAATATCTGACTGGTCTACTTCAGAGGGATTTTATTAAGATTTATTCATTTTAAAATGTTTTGTAAATTGTAAATTGCTTTAGAAATGCAAGATATTGTCTTTATACCTGAAAAATCTCTGCCTTACATCATGAGGCCCATTCTCACTTTGCACAGTAGTACAGGGCTATAAACACAACTGTGCAAGCCAAAGCTGTGCAAAAGCTTCACAATCAATAGGACAAGTTAGCATTATTCCATAACCCTTAAAAGTTTTTGCTAAAACATTAGAAACCCTTTTACTGTTGGTTATAAATGTATAAAGAAGTGGAAAAATGGCAAGACTAATATTTATTTAGAGCACTGTAATTTAAAACATTAGAAACACTGAGAATTAGAGCACTTAATTTGTAAAGAAAACTTATCAAGAGTAATTTGGGGGCTGGCCCAGTGGCACAGTGGTTAAGTTTGCACGTTCTGCTTTTCGGTGACCTGGGGTTCACCAGTTCAGATCCCGGGTGCGGACATGGCACCGCTTGGCAAAAGCCATGCAGTGGTAGGCATCCCACATATAAAATAGAGGAAGATGGGCACAGATGTTAGCTCAGGGCCAGTCTTCATCAGCAAAAGAGGAGGATTAGCAGTAGTTAGCTCTGGGCTAATCTTCCTCAAAAAAAAAAGAGTACTTTGAACAATGTTTGCCTCTTTCTGATCGTATAACTCACAAGACAGTGAGCATCTTCTCTATGCCTATCATACTCCCTTCCAAGTTTGGATCAGTTTCCACCATGTTATCCTCTGCACTTAGGATGTTGTGGAACAGGTCCAAGAGTTCCTTTAATGTGAAGTTTTTTGCTAGCATCACTTCCTGTAGGATACCTTTATCCTTTCTGTCACAAACACTTCCCTCATCTATGTCGATAAATTCCCCTTCAGCAAGTTCTTCTGGCTTCATTTCTGGAATCTCTTGAATGGTGGCAGTGTTAGCCTTTTCCTGGTCAGGTAGTTCTTTTATAACTCTATTTACACTCTACTAGCATTTCACTCCCAGCATTATCACTTTTCCTTTCTTTTCTGCAATTTCATCTTTGTTGGCCAATCCCTTCTTCTGATTATCCATTTTGTTATGTGTGTTTATCACTGAAAGATAAGCAGCAGCACAACTACATGCTTTGCTGTCTGTGTGTGTAACAGGCAGAGAGTGACCACCTGCAGACATACGTGAAAAGAGGTGACATGATTACTCACTGATCTGAAGCACGTCTGTTATTTACATAGCGATGTAGGAACTGAAGAGCTGGAAGTGAAGTTCGTACCTTACGCAATTATTCAGTTAATATATCATGATTATGGAATCTGAATTGTGTTGTTGAAAGACTGGTGTTATGTAACTAAACCCTGTGCATCTTGGGGCCATGAAGGATTGCCTGTACTTGCAGCGTCCTGAGACGTGTGAATTCCCCCATTCAGTGTTTTCAGCATTTGAAGAGGAGGGAAAATAATTATTTCTCTGGCTTTCTTGACATGATTCTTTAGGAACCTTCTATATTCATTCAAGAAATGTGTATTGAAGAAATCAAAGAAACTTTCTGTTATTGTCAATCAAGTAGGCTTATTTTAGATTAAATTAGAATGTGGTATGAGGTAGATAAATTAGTTGACTTTAAAACAGCACTTGGTTGAATAATAGTTGATTTCTTTTAAGAGAAAAACAAAAAGTTTTACATGATTTTCCTTAACCATTTAACATTACCTTTTCACATCTTTGCATATCTTTAGTTGTCAGTCTTCTTATCCCAGAATAAAAAGTTCAAGCCAGATCAAATGTTAAACGTACCCCATATCCTAAAGCGAGTTTCTTACAATCTGGAGAGGTGCATTTTAAAGGCCTGTTTGCACTCAGTCTCCCTAAGGGCTCACCGCACACGTACGGACAGGAATTACATAATTGAGACCTTTGACCTCTTGGAGGTGCACCAAATTGTTGGTGTTCTCTCTTAAAATATCTAATAGTGGTTCATTACCCTGACTTCAGGATAGCCATCAATGCAGCTCCATACACTCTGCCCACAGAAGACAGTAGGATAAGTTATTCTCGCTATCACGGGAAGGTACTCATCACTTCTATAGTCATAAAGTTATTTTAGATCTGAATGAACCATACTAAACACAAAGGTATTTAGCCAATGATGCAGTCACTGTGTTCTGCTCTGACTTTTATGATAACCCAAAAAAGTCTAGCGAGGGAAACAGATAATTAAAATACAGTTTGGTAAGTGAGGGAGGGGAGTGATAAGATGGTATGGAATCATCAGAGAAATGCCAAACCTAGCTTTGAGAGAACAAAGAAAGTCCGAGCGAGCTGTCTCTGAAAGACAGCAGGAACTGCCTCAGCAAAGAAGGGAGGAGGGATGGGTCTTGTAAGAACCACAGGTTCAAGGGCCTGGAGACGAGAGAAAGAGAATGATGAATTCCAGAAACCGGAAGTTCTGTGGGAGAGCCGAGGCTGGAGAGGTGAAACCTATGCCATGCTAAAGAACTTACCACAACACTCACAGAAAGCCAAGAAGAGCTTTAAAAGCAGAGTAACGCGCTCTGACTTCATTTGAGGAACGTCCTCTCAGTAGGTGCTGTGAGCAGACAGGAATGGAGGCAGCGAAGAGGACAGAGACCAGCTGAGAGATGAAACTGGCTCAATCTCAGTCAGCAGCAGGGGAACTGAGAGACGGGGGAAGATTCTAGAGGTACTAAGGAAGTAGAATCAAAGGACTTTGTGGCCATTTTTGGATATTGCAGGTGACTCAAAGTTTTCTGCTTGGACAACTGAGTGGAAGGTCAAGTGGGAGGAAAAATAACGGTAATTAAACTTGGAAAAAATTGGCTTTGAAAGGAGCGAGGCATAGAATGAGATTTCCTGCCTAAAATGAAAATGGTGTTGTGTTTTGTTTCTGCTCTTCAGACGGCCTGGGACAGATAAATCCTGTGATAACTGGGGCAGGGTAGGGGGGACATGGCACTGACATCACCCAGCATAGCAAGGTGTAGGGACCTCTGGAGATAAGCAAAGGGCAACCTCCTGTTGGAGGGAAGATCAACAGCTTGACTGTCCAGGACACAGGATATAAATAGCCCAAATTGTGCCTGTGTTTCTAAGCAAAATAGCCAGAGAAGGCGGTCAGCGCATGGGGTACCAAAAGTGACAGCTATCTCAGACTACCAGACTTTCTGTGTAAATGGTTCATGAGAAGCAGCAACGCATACGGAGGCTGGAGGACCGCTGTAAATAACCCCGGGACAGCGGCTGGAAGATGGACCTGGAACGGAAGCCTTGACTTTCACCACGTTCTCCATGTCCAAGAATGCACCCAGGCCACCTGCTGCCAGCTCCCAGAGCGCCTCATCACGGTCACAGGTCAAAATGCTTAATTCCAAAAGCCATACAACCCACTTTTTATCTTTTCCCAAATGTAAACAGGAAATAATCAAAACCATTTTTAGCTTACATGGAAGAACATCTCGGTATCTGTTTTTGTCTCTGTTGCGTGGTTCAGACCCAGAGTTGAACTCACCAGGTAGGTTCTTAAATTCTAAAGCCTTTAAAAGGTAAGAAATATAAGTCATGTACTTACTATAACAAAAGACAAAGAAAAAGAAAAAACCCTGCCTTTGGTTAGTGTTCATGATCCTTAAACCCCTTTATGTCATGACTTGATGTTAAGTAAGCTGTGTAAATGGAGAAGTCAGAGCCGCATTTAGAAAGTACTCTATGAAATAGCTCAAATTTGAGATGTCAGTCAACATGCTGCTTGATAAGGAAATGTTAAATTCTCTGGAGATACTTTTTCCCTTGAACTTCAATATTTTTCCTTTTTCATAAAAAAAGCCAATACTGAATATTTACTTCTTAGGATCCATCCCTAAATCTATCATTTTATAAAGAAAAATAATAAATAATAGCAACAAAAATATATAAACAAAAAATATAAACAGTCTAACAATTTACTTCTTGCCCCATGAAGAAATTATAGCTAGGATACCAATTAAAGAATTCTTCCTTTCAAACAAATTTCTTTAAGGTCTGGCCTGTGGCTGAGTGGTTAAAGTTCTGTGCACTCTGCTTTAGCAGCCCAGGTTCATGAGTTCAGATCCCAGGTGCAGACCTACTCCACTCATCAGCTATGCTATGGAGGCATCTCACATACAAAGTAGAGGAAGACTGGCACAGATGTTAGCTCAGGGCTAATCTTCCTCAAGCAAAAAAAGAGGAGGATTGGCAACAAATGTTAGCTCAGGGCAAATCTTCCTCTCCAAAAAAAAAAAAAAGAAAGAAAGAAAGAAGGAAATGAAAAATTTATTTACCAAGTGTGAATTCAACAAACATTTAGTATGTACTCGGCACTGTTCCAGACATTGGAATACAGAGATGAGTCTGAAAATGGCCTCATCCTGAAGGAGTTAAGGGAGCAGGGAGAGAGGCAGACATGGTCAACATACAGAGATACTGGTGTAAATGACAGCACTATACTGTACCTAAAGGGATGGGAAGGAGAGCCCCTAGAAAGGAGGCAACACCTGAACTGGGCCCTCCTGAGTCAAAAGAAGTTTTGAAACACCAAAGTCTGTGTGTGGAAGGAAAGAAGAGCGAAGGTGGCTGGGTATCACTCCAGGCAGGAGGACAGGAATAAAGGTGCGGGGCATACATGTCCTCCTAGGGCCTGGTCAATAATGTGGTAACGAGGACACAGAGAACATGATCTAGACCAAAGGGAAACTAAAGCTACCTAGGAAGGCCTTGTTTCACATACAAAGAAAGTGAGATGCCCCCAGTCCTACTCTTCTAGAAAATGTGTGCATAAAGCCACGAGTCACCTCTTTTTGAAAGCTCTTCAGTAACTCTTGGGCAGCCAGCTTGGCGCCACCAGTCTTTAAATAGATGTTGGCACCTACTGCCACGTGGAATGAGAAGTCAGTGAAGGTTTAAGCAGTAGGATAATATGATCAGGTTTTTACCTTTTGAATCTCTCTGCAAACCAATTCTAAAATTAACCTGGAAAAAACATCTGTAGGAAGAACCAGAATAACTGTAAAAGAAGAGTAATGAGGGGACACTAGTCTTACACGATGGTAAAAGATATTATAAACCCGCATTAATTAAGAATTTTGTACCAGAACATGAATAAACAAATCACTGGGAAAAGTCCAAGAATAAATTAACACACATGCGTGCTTCAGAATATGATTCAGTGGCATTTGACATCACTGGAGTTTGAAGAGGATCTTAGAACAATTGGACAGCTATATAATGCGGGGTCCTACCAAATACCTTATAACAAATTAACTTCTAGCTAGACCAAAGATTTACAGATTAAAAAGTCATGAAAGTATTATTAAAAACACATGAAATAATTATTATGATCCTTGAATGAATGGGGCATTCCAAAAGGAGACACAAAACCCTCAAGCCCCAAAAGAAAAGATTACCATATTTGATCACTAAAAATTAGTTATTTCTTCTTAGTAAACATGTGTGTGCACAAACAAAGTGAAAAAAGTCACCATATATTACACACATCAAAGGGGTACTTTCTTCATTATATAAAGAGTTATTAATTGATAAGAAAAAGAATAAACAGAAAATGGAGCAAAGACTTGGAACTAGCAGTTCACTGAAAACAAACACAAAAGGCTTAAAAACATAAGGAAGGCTATTTCTTTGTTCTCAAAAGAAGAAAAGCCAATTAGATCACCAACAAGAAGTCACTTGTCACTTAAGAGATGAGGAAAGATCCAAAAATTTGATAGCACAAAACACTGGTTGTCTGCCCAGGAATTTGTCCTAAAGAAGACTGGCACATGCACACAGGCCTGTGAAGAGGGGTACCCTTCTTGCTGTTGACGACGGCAAAGCCTAGAACACTGGAGATGCCCGTCAGAGGTGGCCACTTAAGGGAGGAAAGGCCTTTGTGCAGGTAAGTAACTGCCATGCCGTACTTAAGTGAGTGGATAGAGTTCCACGTCCTGATAATATATTTGGAAATTACTTTTTATGTGGAAAAACATTTTTTAAAGCAAAGAAAGGGCAGAATAGTGAGTAAAGTACTGCCAACAATTTTTCTGGAAGTTTACATGACAAACTTAATAGTGGAAAGGGGGCCTAGGAAGTCAAGGGAGAAAAAGAGAGACTTACTCCATTTTATAACCTTTTATGTTACTTGACTTTTTTACTATATACACACACCTATTACTTTAAAAACAAATTTAATATTTAAAAACAAAAACAATGTATTCAATCTAAAAAAAAATAAAAGAAACCCTCTGGTAATAATGTGGGAACAGAAATCACATACAGACTTTTGTTAAGACCAAAATGTTTACCATGAATTCCTGGGTGATTTCATTGTCTGCTCTTTTTTCCTCGAGCATTTTAAAAGTTTCCTTGATGGTTGATTGCTCATCAAAACTGGACACTAATGGTCGAACCTGAGCCAACTCAGCTAGCTCCATCTCAGAAACAATTTTTACACCTAAGAAAGAGAAAAATTCATCTGTAAGTTACTTGTATACATGAAGGGAGGATTTACTTTTGTTGTTGCGTTCTCTTAAGTTAAGGCAGAGCCATCTAAGGATTAACGGAACTTTATTTTTCTAGAGGTGGAGTCTTATTTTGGAAAAAAAGTGTCCCTGTTTTGGAAAAATCATGACTATGTACGTTGAAATTACACAAAACCCACTATTCTTGAGAAAACTGCCAAGTGCTATAAATATAAGGGAAGCAGGAGACTGAGAAGCGTTGTTTATAATGTGAACTGGGTACAGGTACTGAACTGTGACACGGCGAGCGTGCACAAGACTCGGGCAGGAAAAGCCAGAACTGCCACCCTCCCTGGGACAGGTGTCTGTAAGTCCCTGCAGTCTGAGATGAGAGCATGTGGAGAGTCGAACACACTTAGTCTAAAACAGATCAAGCACGCACCCACACTCATACACACACACATATGCACTCATACACACACACACTCATACACACGCACACACTCATACACACACACTCATACACACATGCACTCATACACACACTCATACACACACACATACGCACTCATACACACACGCACTCATACACACACACATACACACACATGCACTCACACACACACACACTCACCACTCACACACACTCATACACACACGCACTCATACACACACAGGCACTCATACACACACACATGCACTCATACACACACACACTCATACACACACACTCATACACACATGCACTCATACACACACTCATACACACACACATACGCACTCATACACACACGCACTCATACACACACATGCACTCACACACACACACACACTCACCACTCACACACACTCATACACACACGCACTCATACACACACAGGCACTCATACACACACACATGCACTCATACACATCACACACACACTTCAAGGACTGAGAGGATCTATATGCTGTAATTAATAAGATTTAAAAATAGATATATACAATGCATATATTGACACATATAAAATAATATAAAACAATATAAAGTTATACACTTATAACCAATAATAACAGAAGACAATACATTCTATTTAATAGCACACATGGAATTTTTTTTTTAAAATGATGATTTTTTAGGTGTTGTTGACAGTCTAGATTCCAAATATGTGAAATTTTACAGATCATGTCCACTGGCCAAAATGTAACAAATCTAGAAGTCATTATTAAAAGAATATTTTAAAAATTTCAGACTTTCGAGATGAAATGCTGGAGTGAAACCAGTTCTCAAAAATCTCTTTCCAAAGCCAAATAATATCAACAAAAATTGAGTTAATACCAGCAAAGACACGCGAGAAGCAATCAGGCAAAAGAACAGGCACAACAAAGAGATGGAAGTTCCCAAGACTCTGCATGACCTTGGGAAACTCATCTTGTCTTGGAACCCTACTATACCCAAAAGCTCTCTGTAGGGGTGGGACAGAGGGACTACTGGTTGGGAGAGACAGTCACAGAAATCCTACCATTTCTCACAAATATCTCCAACCTTCATATGAGAGGAAGTCTAGGAAGCCAGAAGAGGACATGAAATACCCACAAGAGTAGAAGCCATTTCGATCACTTCTGATCCCCAGTAGGAAAACCCTTAGAACTTTTCCACTGTGTTCCACTCTTGCTGAACAAAACACTGAGAGAAGGCAGAGAGGAAAGGAAAGGAAAGTTAGAACGACTGTAATGGACACTGATGTTGACTCCCCATCATGGATTCTACCCTGATGGGTAGTTAAAGCCATTTGTGATTATTCTACAGCAATTCCCCAGCCAGTGAATAATTCAGCAATAGTTGGTGATTTGGGCCAATGGGAAGCAAGGAGAAGTTTACCAGGGCTCATGGGAAAGAGAAGCAAGCCTCTCTCTCACCTCCACCCCTGCCCTGACATAAACCCAGAAGCATAAGGCCCCGGTTATCAGAATCAGCCCTACTGTGACCCTAAAAGGAATGAGCTGAGTATAGCAAATATGAAAAAACATGAAGAACCTAGGTTCCTGATGACATCACTGAGCAACTGATCACAGTGAACCTGGAGTACTTCTGCCTCTGGACTTCCATACGGGAGAAAATAGATTTCTTTCCTGTTAACATCATTTTGAATTTGGTTTCTTTTTATTGTGGCCTGGTCCAAGAATTCCAGCAAGGTGTATAGGGCAGCCTTCGGCTACAGATAACAGCAATCATTACAGAAAGGGAATTTTACAGAAATCCAGTTTACAGAAAAGGATTTTATCTAGCTGTTTGGTGCTGACAACATCACTGGGAAAGTTTGAAGAGCAGGTGCTTCCCCCACTATGATCCCAAAATAACACAGCAGAATGGTCTGCCAAGAAAAGTGCTACCTTTGCTGCAATGAGGAATCTGAGGGAGCTAGACACCACTGCCCTAACCAGTGGTTCCTGGATGACATCACTTTAGCAATCATGGAGGAATCAGAAAGTCACCAGAACTGTTGGCTGGACTAACGGACCACCTTAGCTATAATGAGGCACCAGGAACGCCATGCCTGTGACAGTGTGTACCAGCAACATGGATGCTTCTCTACACACTTAAGTCTCAGCTAAGGGCATGTGATTGGCCTAACCCACTCTAGCTACAAGGATGTCCAGGAAATATAATTTTTATTTTTCCCGCCTGGGCCATACAGGCAGGCACACTAGGAGGAGGATGTGATTGACTTTGAGTAAGATGATCTGTAATATCTGCCACACAAACAATTCATCCACCCCCTTGGGCTTTCTGCTCCTTTCCCCCAACGATTCAGCACACTTGTCATTGTCCCCAGGCAAATCCAGCCCTCAAAGTGTAGTTTATAAAGGAAGAGAACTAGACTCAAATCAAATGGAATAAGAGTCAAGAAGAATTCACTCACATTCAGTTAAAAAGATCCAAGAGACGCAGAGCTATCCATGTTAGTTGACAAGATGGAAATAAAACATGAGATGCAGAAAAAGAAGAATAATGCAATATAATACGTAAAACATTTTTAATACACTATGAGTCAAACATAACCTAAATTGTAGCTCCATCATCTGTAGGAAGAAGTAATAAGAATATGAATTATTTTCAATAATAAAAATATCTCAAAAAGTGAGATAAAACAACAGAATGAGGTGAAAAATAAGTTTATAGGCCTAAGAAAATAAGGCCAAAAGTACATGATTATAGAGCTAATAATTAAATCAAACACTGCAAGAAACAAAGCAGACAGTTGAAAACGAACTGGTTCTTGGATAAAGACATGGATACATACATCAATGAGGAGAAGAAGAGGTTAAAAAACAAAAGCTAATGCACAGAAGGACCGCATCAGAAGCTCAGGAGAGAAACCGGAGACAAGGGGAGGAATGAAGAACTCTGCCCTCGTGGTGCAAGCTTGCAGAGGGGAGCAGCAGCTTCTGCAGGAAAGGTATGAAGCCCGCCCGGGTCCTTTCTCCCTCTCTCCCCTAAGGATTAAAAGCATAGGAAGTTGGGAAAAGGGCAGCAAACTCTAATCCCCTCAAGACACAGGATAAGACCCACTAACACTGGAGATAGCGAGAGGAGGAAAGCATCCTGGGGTCAGACCATAACACATCCCCCACCCCTGAAGAAAGGGCAGGATAACTGAGACCCAGGGACACAGCATCTGCCTGAGACTCAGGGCGAACAAGGACAACAGAGGATGCCATTCCCACCCCCAACCACGTTAGCAAGCAGCCAAATTACAAATGAGAGCACTCCACTGCTGGGGAATGGACCAGATCACAGAGAGGAACCTTCTCTGAGGTGCAGGCACAATGTGGGGAGCTAGTGCAGGGGGAAGGGCAGACACCGAGGTCAACCCTCGGCACGCCCTTTTCCACTCCAAGCACAAGGTAGCAACACAGGCACGTGAAGCTGGCGGTGCACTGAGAGCAACCACAGCAACACCAAAACCCAAACCGTCCAATCCTCACAAACCGACTCAGCTCCTCACGCTGAAGCTCCCAAAGGAAGAGGCACGTCCATCCCTATCCACCTCAGTCTCCAGAACATGAGATCTGCAGGCTGCAACCAAAAAACTATACAGTGACAGAGACGGAAGACAAAGGAAAAATAAAACAAAACTGTCAAGAGACAAAGCAATCAACAGAAGTAGACAGAGATATGACATAAATGTTAAAACTCTCAGACAATGAATTTGAAATAACTAAAAGCGATGCTGAAAGTTTAGTGGAAATAGTAGACAACATGCATGAACAAATAGGGGATTTCACCAGAGAGATGGAAAGCATAAGAATCAAGCAGAAATGCTAAAAACGAAAAATACTGTAATGGAAATAATGCCATCAATGGGCTCAATAGGCTTGATGTAGGCAAGAACAGAATCAGAAAACTTAAAAATAGGTCACTAGGCATTACCCAAACTGAAAGAGAGAAAAGAGTGGGGGTAGGAGTGGGAGGGACACAGAAGAGACCATCCCAAAGCTACTTACCGGCCAGTATCACACAGACCACATCATTCCTGTAAGTGGAATCCCGAGACAGAAGAGAGAGACAGAACTGGGCAGAAGAGATGTTTGAAATGATAATGGCTGGGAATTTTCCAAAATGAATGAAAGGCACCGAGCCGCCTCAGAGCCAAAAGCTCATCATAGACAACACAAGACAGAAGACGACCCAGAATCCTATAACCAACAAAAACATCTTTCCAAAAAATGGAGAAATAAACATTTCTACAGACAAACAAATACTGAGAGAGCTCATTAGCAGCAAACTTGCACTACAAGAAATGTTCAAGGAAGATCTTCAGGCAGAACAAATATATTCCATAAATGTAGTTAAATATAAAAGTCTCTTTTTTATTAATTTCACTTCTCTGGAGAATAACTGGCTACCTAAAACAAAAATAATGAATACGCATTTCATGCTTATTATGTAAAATTAAAATGTTGGCAATAATTTCACAAAAGATGGTCAGGAGAAATTAGGAAGACACTA